AACTGGCGACTAACATACATGTGCAGTCACATACATGTACAGTCACATGTACACTAACATACATGTACACTAACATACATGTACAGTCACATACATGTACACTAACATACATGTACACTAACATACATGTACAGTCACATACATGTACAGTAACATACATGTACAGTCACATACATGTACACTAACATACATGTTCACTAACATACATGTACAGTAACATACATGTACAGTAACATACATGTACACTAACATACATGTACACTAACATACATGTACAGTCACATACATGTACACTAACATACATGTACACTAACATACATGTACAGTCACATACATGTACACTAACATACATGTGCAGTCACATACATGTACAGTCACATGTACAGTAACATACATGTACAGTCACATACATGTACACTAACATACATGTACAGTCACATACATGTACAGTCACATACATGTACACTAACATACATGTGCAGTCACATACATGTACAGTCACATGTACACTAACATACATGTACACTCACATACATGTACAGTCACATACATGTACACTAACATACATGTACACTAACATACATGTACAGTCACATACATGTACAGTCACATACATGTACAGTCACATACATGTACAGTAACATACATGTACAGTCACATACATGTACACTAACATACATGTTCACTAACATACATGTACACTAACATACATGTACAGTCACATGTACACTAACAGGATCCTATGGACATGCACTAAGGGAGAGATGTCAGAGTGACGGAGCGGCCCACAGCAGGCGCTCCTGAGCTGATGATGGTGGGGAGAGGGTTTGGTGCCTTGCTCAAGGGCACCTCGGCAGTGCTCAGGACTTGAACTGGCGACTAACATACATGTGCAGTCACATACATGTACAGTCACATGTACACTAACATACATGTACACTAACATACATGTACAGTCACATACATGTACACTAACATACATGTACAGTCACATACATGTACAGTAACATACATGTACAGTCACATACATGTACACTAACATACATGTACAGTCACATACATGTACACTAACATACATGTGCAGTCACATACATGTACAGTCACATGTACAGTAACATACATGTACAGTCACATACATGTACACTAACATACATGTACAGTCACATACATGTACAGTCACATACATGTACACTAACATACATGTGCAGTCACATACATGTACAGTCACATGTACACTAACATACATGTACACTCACATACATGTACAGTCACATACATGTACACTAACATACATGTACACTAACATACATGTACAGTCACATACATGTACAGTCACATACATGTACAGTCACATACATGTACAGTAACATACATGTACAGTCACATACATATACACTAACATACATGTTCACTAACATACATGTACACTAACATACATGTACAGTCACATGTACAGTAACAGGATCCTATGGACATGCACTAAGGGAGAGATGTCAGAGTGACGGAGCGGCCCACAGCAGGCGCTCCTGAGCTGATGATGGTGGGGAGAGGGTTTGGTGCCTTGCTCAAGGGCACCTCGGCAGTGCTCAGGACTTGAACTGGCGACTAACATACATGTGCAGTCACATACATGTACAGTCACATGTACACTAACATACATGTACACTAACATACATGTACAGTCACATACATGTACACTAACATACATGGACACTAACATACATGTACAGTCACATACATGTACAGTAACATACATGTACAGTCACATACATGTACACTAACATACATGTTCACTAACATACATGTACAGTCACATACATGTACAGTAACATACATGTACAGTAACATACATGTACACTAACATACATGTACAGTCACATACATGTACACTAACATACATGTGCAGTCACATACATGTACAGTCACATACATGTGCAGTCACATACATGTACAGTCACATGTACAGTAACATACATGTACAGTCACATACATGTACACTAACATACATGTACAGTCACATACATGTACAGTCACATACATGTACACTAACATACATGTGCAGTCACTTACATGTACAGTCACATGTACACTAACAGGATCCTATGGACATGCACTAAGGGAGAGATGTCAGAGTGACGGAGCGGCCCACAGCAGGCGCTCCTGAGCTGATGATGGTGGGGAGAGGGTTTGGTGCCTTGCTCAAGGGCACCTCGGCAGTGCTCAGGACTTGAACTGGCGACTAACATACATGTGCAGTCACATACATGTACAGTCACATGTACACTAACATACATGTACACTAACATACATGTACAGTCACATACATGTACAGTCACATACATGTACAGTCACATGTACACTAACATACATGTTCACTAACATACATGTACAGTCACATACATGTACAGTAACATACATGTACACTAACATACATGTACACTAACATACATGTACACTCACATACATGTACAGTCACATACATGTACAGTAACATACATGTACAGTCACATACATGTACACTAACATACATGTACACTCACATACATGTGCAGTCACATACATGTACAGTCACATGTACAGTAACATACATGTACAGTCACATACATGTACACTAACATACATGTACAGTCACATACATGTACACTAACATACATGTACAGTCACATACATGTACAGTCACATACATGTACACTAACATACATGTGCAGTCACATACATGTACAGTCACATGTACACTAACAGGATCCTATGGACATGCACTAAGGGAGAGATGTCAGAGTGACGGAGCGGCCCACAGCAGGCGCTCCTGAGCTGATGATGGTGGGGAGAGGGTTTGGTGCCTTGCTCAAGGGCACCTCGGCAGTGCTCAGGACTTGAACTGGCGACTAACATACATGTGCAGTCACATACATGTACAGTCACATGTACACTAACATACATGTACACTAACATACATGTACAGTCACATACATGTACACTAACATACATGTACACTAACATACATGTACAGTCACATACATGTACAGTAACATACATGTACAGTCACATACATGTACACTAACATACATGTTCACTAACATACATGTACAGTCACATACATGTACAGTAACATACATGTACACTAACATACATGTACACTAACATACATGTACAGTCACATACATGTACAGTCACATACATGTACACTAACATACATGTGCAGTCACATACATGTACAGTCACATGTACACTAACATACATGTACAGTCACATACATGTACACTAACATACATGTTCACTAACATACATGTACAGTCACATACATGTACAGTAACATACATGTACACTAACATACATGTACACTAACATACATGTACACTCACATACATGTACAGTAACATACATGTACAGTCACATACATGTACACTAACATACATGTACACTCACATACATGTACAGTCACATACATGTACACTAACATACATGTACAGTAACATACATGTACACTAACATACATGTACAGTCACATACATGTACAGTAACATACATGTGCAGTCACATACATGTACAGTAACATACATGTACACTAACATACATGTGCAGTCACATACATGTACAGTCACATGTACACTAACATACATGTACACTAACATACATGTACAGTCACATACATGTACACTAACATACATGTTCACTAACATACATGTACAGTCACATACATGTACAGTCACATACATGTACAGTCACATACATGTACAGTAACATACATGTTCACTAACATACATGTACAGTCACATACATGTACAGTAACATACATGTACACTAACATACATGTACACTAACATACATGTGCAGTCACATACATGTACAGTCACATGTACAGTAACATACATGTACAGTCACATACATGTACACTAACATACATGTACAGTCACATACATGTACAGTCACATACATGTACAGTAACATACATGTACACTAACATACATGTACAGTCACATACATGTACACTAACATACATGTTCACTAACATACATGTGCACTCACATACACTACCACTCATAAATGTACATATTATGGAATGTATTGTTTCTTCATTAGACATATTATGGGATGTATAGTTTCTTCAATAGACATATTATGGGATGTATAGTTTCTTCATTAGACATATTATGGGATGTATTGTTTCTTCAATAGACATATTATGGGATGTATAGTTTATTCATTAGACATATTATGGGATGTATTGTTTCTTCAATAGACATATTATGGGATGTATAGTTTCTTCATTAGACATATTATGGGATGTATTGTTTCTTCATTAGACATATTATGGGATGTATTGTTTCTTCAATAGACATATTATGGGATGTATTGTTTCTTCATTAGACATATTATGGGATGTATTGTTTCTTCATTAGACATATTATGGGATGTATAGTTTCTTCATTAGACATATTATGGGATGTATTGTTTCTTCAATAGACATATTATGGGATGTATTGTTTCTTCATTAGACATATTATGGGATGTATTGTTTCTTCATTAGACATATTATGGGATGTATTGTTTCTTCATTAGACATATTATGGGATGTATTGTTTCTTCAATAGACATATTATGGGATGTATTGTTTCTTCAATAGACATATTATGGGATGTATTGTTTCTTCATTAGACATATTATGGGATGTATAGTTTCTTCATTAGACATATTATGGGATGTATAGTTTCTTCATTAGACATATTATGGGATGTATAGTTTCTTCATTAGACATATTATGGGATGTATTGTTTCTTCAATAGACATATTATGGGATGTATAGTTTCTTCATTAGACATATTATGGGATGTATAGTTTCTTCATTAGACATATTATGGGATGTTTTTGTGTTTCATCAGACTCTGCACAGCTGTAAATGCGCCCCCTAGCGGCAGCGCTGCGCTGTGACCGTGTGTGTCTCTTTAAAAGAGGTTTTCTCAGGACGGGGAGGGGGGGCTGCTGGGTTCATCGAGTTCATGTGGTCTTGTTCGCCTCCTCCCCGCTCAGGTCTGATGTTGCGGGCTCTACGGAGGCTGCAGGTGAGGAGACTCGGTGTGTCCTCGTCCACAGAGACTCTGAAGGTTTGGATTTGACCTCTGGTTAGGACGCGCATCGTGGATCAGCTGATGATCCTCACGAGCTGCCATTTTCAGGTCATCCGAGGCTGCCGGTGTGAGATGGAGGGGGGGTCTGCGGAGTGAGCGCGATGGCTGATGGATGCTGCAGAGGGATCATGGACCGCACGAGGGCGAAGATTGCATCAGAGCCGGGAGCCCGGTGCTCGTTTCCCGCTCCGCAGTACGTCCAGCCGGGCTGTGCGCAGCCGCAGGCAGCCTCAGACATCCAGGAGCTGGCCTCCAAACGCGTCGACATCCAGAAGAAGCGTTTCTACCTGGACGTGAAGCAGTCCGCCCGCGGCCGCTTCCTGAAGATCGCGGAGGTGTGGATCGGCCGCGGCCGCCACGACAACATCCGGAAGTCCAAGCTGACGCTGTCCATGTCCATGGCCCCTGCTCTGCGCGCGCTGCTCGGGGACTTCATCGACCACTACGCCCGGATCGGGTTGCGGGGGGGGCCGGGTCCGCAGGAGCAATGTGCGGGACCCTCACCCACCGGGTCTGCGGGATCTGACGAGCACGCGCACCGCGTGCTGAAGAGCGACTTCATCGAGCGGGACAACCGGAAGTACTTCCTGGACCTAAAGGAGAACCAGCGGGGCCGCTTCCTGCGGATTCGGCAGACCGTAAGCAAGGGCCATGGGACCATGGGGTACTATGGGCCCGGGATCGAGCAGACCATCGTCCTGCCTGCCCAGGGTCTCATCGAGTTTCGTGACGCGCTGTCTCAGCTCATCGAGGACTACGGGGACGAAGACACGGATGAGCGGGACCGAACCAACTTCCGGAACCACGATGACGGCCCCGAGCTGCCAGAGGCCGCGTCCTTCCGGGTCGACAACAAGAGGTTCTACTTCGACGTGGGCTCAAACCGATTCGGGGTGTTCCTGAAGATCAGTGAGGTCCGGCAGCCGTACAGGAACACCATCACTGTCCCGCTGAAGGCCTGGTCCCGGTTTGGTGAGAACTTCAACCGGTACGAGGAGGAGATGCGCCGGATTTTTAGCGCGTGCAGCAAAGAGAGGAGGACTGACAGCGAGGAGCACGAGGACTGACCCTGAGGGACTCTACCCCCCCATTATAAGGGCTGGTCTACTTCAGATCTGAACCTGCCAAGAACTTCAGTCCTCCACCTGGTCCACCTGGTCCACCTGGTCCACCTGTCAGAGCTGCTGCTTTAACAGAAGCAAAGTCCTGACCCGGATCAGACCCGGGCCACAGACTGTTCAGGGTCAGATCAAATCAAACTTCATTATAAAATTATATCAAATAATTCTGTTTACGACTTTAATCACAGAAAACAATAAGTTGAGATGTTTCATCGTTTAGTTTTTATCTCAAAAAACTCCAATGTAGAAAATTCTAAAAAAGATATTTAAAATTTAAAACTGAACAGAAGTCAGAGAGAGAGAGTGCTGATTGGCTGATCAGCTGATCAGTGGTGAGGAGAGAAGTGGGAGTTGTAGTCCTGTCAGAGTTTCTGTCTGCAAAAAGTTTATAAAAAAGTTTAAGTTTGAAAATCAGAAAAGATGAAGATGAAGATGAAGATGCAACAACAGCACTTATAGTTTGTCTGTTCAGTTGTGTGTGTGTGTGTGGTGTGTGTGTGTGTGTGTGTGTGTGTGTGGTGTGTGTGTGTGTGTGTGTGTGTGTGTGTGTGTGTGTGTGTGTGTGTGTGTGGTGTGTGTGTGTGTGTGTGTGTGTGTGTGTGTGTGTGTGTGTGTGTGTGTGTGTGTGTGTGTGT